CCCGGGGCGCAGCTAAATGCCTAAAATATATAATACCTACGTAGCTGGGTTTCTAGTCATTGCCAATTCAGCTGTCATTTTTTCCGCTGTCAGTTGGCCATTATTCCCCAGGCTGAAGACCCTACCTGGCTGCCGCCCAGTCTTCCTCCTCATGTACCAAGATCACTAAATGTTCATAATCGAATCAACAGGACTTATCACATAGTGAGTAACAACAGCCCATAGCAGCATAGCAGAAGGTTGGAACACGCCGGACAGCGGCTGCAGATCTCACTCGATACGTACGACCTGATTTTTGCTTAGAGCGCGTGAATAACCGGAGTGTCCCGCTTCCATAGCGGCGAACAAGACTCAGGAGTAGTGGACTATAGTAAAGTACAACTAATACCATGAGGGGAACCCGGACGACCGATTAGGTTGCCCATATTTTATGAGTTTTACGAGGAACAACCAGTTAATTAAGCTTTTTCTGACAAATATAAATGGTATATATAGTACGGTACACTAAACGACATTTTTCTGTTTGGTGGTTTGAAGCGTGAGTGAATGTGGGCGCGTATAGTTTGAATTCTATCGAGTGACTAGAGCTATGGTGGGCCCCTCCGGTGCGAGTGTTAGCTACTCAATGAATGAATGTTTTGAGCTTTACGCTTTGTACTGCCGTTAGAGATTGCCTCAAACGACTGGTTCTTACTGGCGTTAGGAGATACTACCGCTGCTGCCGCAAAATAGACCTCCAAACGGTGTATTGATGTAGGTTGATGTGTGCCTGTTATTAAATGCTGTTAACCTATTCGGTTCTTGGCTGCCTGGTCCGACTTGGCGATGTCCGCAAACCTTCACTGGGCTGGCTACCTAAGCTAAGTAGGGACAGTTTCTTTGGTTCTTGGTGAGTGGCCGATGCGCTCTTGGCATCGGCGTGGGCGGGGGCGGGAGCGAGACAGGCTTTTTTTATGAGAACACGCGAGTAGCTACGGTGGTGGCTACTGGGTAACAACGGCCTGCTACTGCAAAAATGGCGCTGGCAGAGCGACACGCGCACACAGTTCCACCAACAGCACTAACACAGCTTGCAGTAGTACGTTGATCCACTTGGCATAGCCGGTCAGCCATTTTCATACCTAGCACCACTACTATTGTATCGCCTCGGTCTATGCCTCATCCCTGAAGCACCTCTGAAGGCACCCCGAGGCAAAACTTCCAGCCATTAGAGTGCCCCGCTCTTTGGGCATGAAGAACGTAGCTTGCTAAGGCTTCAGTCTAAGGTCCTACTGCTGCTGCTTGGCTCCTTGAAGGAGGTGAAAACTTGCAGGCGAACACTCTTAAAGAGCGGTAAAAGGGATCTCGTCTTTTTTAAGGGAGTCACCCCGCTTCCTTATCCCTTGCTAACACAACCCCCGAAAGTTCTTGCTGTCCGCCTATTTCTCGCCCCTTCTCTGTCCTTCGGTGGAAAGAGCTTTCGCTTAATGAATCTGTCCAGGGTTAAGGGTAGCATCGGACCTCAAACGGAAGAAGCAACGGTTTGGATCGAGCGATCAGCAGACAAGAAGATCCAACAACGTTAGTAACGGGAAGGCTGCCACTTTCTCCGTCGTTAGCAAGAGAGAGCCAACGGAGGCAAAATCACAGGCAACGATTTTTTATGATTGACCCTGACTTCTCAAACAGCGACAGGGGTAACAGCAGAAGATTACTGTCCCACTGAGATGTACGCAGTTTATTAAGTGGTTAAGAGTGAACGACACATGTTCATCTCGTTGTAGCAGTAATATGCGTGGTCGTAAGTATTCTTGCTGCTGCTATCAGAGTGTACGAAGCACAAGACTGTCATTGTAGCTTCCATTGCACCTTCCGTATTTAATAATTTTGAAGAAGGGTATAAGCAGGAAGACATTCAGCATTAGAGTCATGCAGGTGATGCAAGGTACGGGAAATAAATTTCTACTTATATACTTTTTGGGGAGTAAACATTAGTATCAATGTTTATAGACGCGTGTTTTTGTGCCAGACATGTCGAAGACTATGTTCAATTATAATAGGCACATTTTTTGGAATTGTTCAGCCTTGTCAGCTGAAGTACGATAATACCTGTCTGCTAAACGAGATTCAACATGCTGCATGCAAGGTCTTTGCAATCTTGTTTTTATTTTCAGGATTCGGATCATTAATATCTATATAAAGATAACCACTCAATTAAATTATAGTATACGTTTGAAAAACAAATTTAAAAAGTGCATAATGATTATCTCAAAAAAAAAAAGTGCGTTGGCCGCTTTGTTTGATTTCTTATCGCATTTATCATTAATTTCCGGCTTTGTTTGCTTGATAACTGGCTTTTCTGTGTCAATTCACGTATCTAGTAATTCACTAAGCAAGGAACTCGCATTTTACGTCATATCATTTTTATACCCACCATTTGTTTCTAATATAGTCGTAACCAATATCAACTGTATTTGGCGATCAGTTTGACAAAAGTCGTAATGCAAGCCGTGCCCAGCAGGTCAATTAAACGGCCACATATATAGTAGTTATTCGTTCCCATTAGTTCATTCTTAGTACCTCTGAAATATCGTACTTTCTATCTCTGTGCTTATACAACAATCTTCATCGACGGATGCTCTCCTGTCACAGCCAGCTTTACGATACACTTAGGTACACTTTATGCTTAAATTTGAAGTTGTAACTTGAACACAGATTGGGGTAGTTACGATAGCGGAAAAAAAATGAAGTATTGCCGCGCAGCTTTTAGTTACACAGTTGATCTCTCCTCAACATCTCGCGCTCTAGTCTACTTTTGATGCGTACTTTCGTAACCTGTTGTACATGGTCCCGCTATAACTCTTTGAATCGTTTCTAAATTCAAATCTACACTTCACTTGTGGCACTTGGCCACCGAAAGCGTTTTTCTATACAGGCATGTAAGGTAGCTCTGAGCAAGGGACAACGGATAAATTACGATCCTGTCAAATATAGACGATAGTCTAACTTCGATTGATGTGGGGTTGCTTAACGTCGGGCAAGCCAGTTTGCAATAGTTCCGATATAATAGAGAAAGAATGCTATATTCGGATACGAAGAGATCTATGAAAAGCGAACAGGGAACGGTGCAGAACCACCGGCAGATTTTTTATGATAAGTGCCTTGACAGTGACGGACGAATAGGCCGAGGTCCAGCGAGTCGGTCACTTCTTGTTCTCTGTCGCTGTATCGCTTTTCTACCGGTAGATGTACGAACGATCCAATCACCCAACAAATAAAGCACTGAGTTAGTGGCCAGAAGACGCTGGGAAAGATTTATCGACAAACCCTAACCCGTCGAACTGCTGTAGCAACTACACAGAACAGCTCTTCTGCTGACTTTACTAGCAAACTGGGTCGTCAGCGGCAGTTCTGGTAGTTCGAAAAGCGAATGAAGGAAAAAGAAAAACGAGGCGTTCACCAGCGGCGGATAGGAGTTAAAGCCTCGTTTAGCTAGTTTCGCTTGCTGACCAGCGATGTGGTGCCACTAGTGTTCGAAACTGGCCAGATCGCCAGTTGGCATTGCGACTAGACAAACAAACTATAGAAAGGGACGCAGAAAAAGCGTCGGGCGGTTCACAAATGGCACCACCAGCGTCCAATAATTGAAGCCAGTTTTTGTCCTGCAGCGGCAAAAGCGGCTACGGTAGCGAAGTGAAGTTCCGCTCAGCAGGAAAAAAACAAATGCATTGCGTGCACAAACCCAGCCATCTGTGCACAAACGGAGTCTTTATCTTTTCCTGTGCAATTCACGCAGGTTCATACACGTGCACAGGAAGTCACGCATACACAACGATGACTTTTTGAAAACATCAATATTGTTGCGGTGGTTGGCGCTGTTCCCGGCCGCCGCCGTCAATACCAAGCACAATGAAAGAAAAATACGGGCAGAACAACCTATATCTAAACTAAATACTTAATGCTATTGATTTTTGGGTTGTCCCTTTTTAAGTCGGCCGCACTTCCTGTTCCACGGCCGGTCTATGAGAACTGCCAGCAAGAGCTTACCAGGAAATTTTTCCTTCAACTCGTCCATTCGTCCACAGCCGTGGTCCCCTTGAAGCAACCGCGATTGTGCACTTGCGAACGCAACCGTCATGAGTGTCGCTTGCTGAGCAGAAATTTCCAGGTGGATATAGTCTTCTCACAAGCTAGTGAAAAAAGCATTGCTGTCCACTGTTCTTGCACTTCCTTAAAGTTTTGTTTGGCTGAAAGAGGAGTAAGGGTAGAGGTTCGCGGACGACGCGAAGACGCGATGAGACATCCTGATCTAATCTGCTGGACCGGATAGCATCCCAAATCCAAGAACGGGGTTGGTGCTCGTACCGGTCGGAGCATCATTTTTGGCTGCTGACTGTAATAGAGGCGGATACTAACCCATTGCACCAGAGTAGTGCGATTCGTTTGAGAGGTAGACATGTATTGCCTCCGCCGGTACGCACGCAACCCATCGTTCCTATCGACCAACTGGGCACTTGTTCAGCAGCCTGTCTCTATCTTACCCGCTTGTTGATGACTAGTTGTTGTTGCTGTTGCCTAACGAACAGCAAAGCTTAGCTCCATTTTTGTTGATGGTTGTCTATTCGGACCTCTAACATCCAACTATAGCAAATTACTTCAAAACATATGTTTTCCTCAAAGACTCTTTTTTTTGTTCAACAAAAGCTCGTGCTAGCTTGGGGTGTACGTGTTCCCGTGATAATTTAGTGAACAAAGTATTTGCCTGCTAATCTTAAGAACACGTTGCGGTTTATGTTTGAGTCCGCGCATAGACACGATTCGTTTTGTACTGAAAGCCAGGCGTCGAATGGAATGCCGAAAGGCGGTGCTGTACGTAAACCTCGAAGCATAGGCAGCTAGAAATATACGTCGAAAAGCGGCTGCAGGCATATTCACAATTGAATGTACCGCATGTTCTGCGGTATTCCCTACCTGTCTATATGAGAAATGACTATGATGTAATAGTACAAAGCAGCACTTACCCGTGACAACAACGTCTCTTTCGGCACGGTCTTGTCCCATAGTGTTGTTGGCTACGCAGACGTATTTCCCGCTGTCGCTAAGCGTCACGCGGGTAAGCACCAAGGTTCCGCCCGTATTCCAATGCGTGTTCAAAGGTATCTTTTGACCACTCTGCGACATTACCCTGTACCAATTATAGGTCGGTGCCGGGTGCCCGCTTGCGACGCATGGCAGACGGAGCGTTGCATCCTCCTGAATCTTCTCACGGAGCTCCGACTCGAAGATGCGCGGTGGCGAGTATCCTTTTGGTTCTAAAATTAAAAAAAAAAGTTAGTGAAAGTTGTCGCTAAGAACAAGATAGATACAGCTATCTTATAGGCAGAGTGTGAAAAAGGGAAGCGTCGAATCGAAGAATCTATTCTATGTAAACTCTTTGTAACAGAGCGGTGTATCATTCAATGCAAGAACAAAATACAGCACGATGTCTAGTAGTGGGTCGACCTTGGATTTAGCGCCAGTCATTGCAGAAATCCATACTTCTTTGAGCGATCAACCTTCCTCACAGATGCGCGTATACTTCCCCCTCAATATTTCATACACTGCTTGCTTTTTCTGAAAGTTAAAGCGACGGGAGCGACAGATTGGAAATGTTCGGTGACCGCTGCAGCGCAGTGACGACTTCATGGTGTTCCAGACAGGCATTCATGAACCGTACGGAGCACAGCCCTCACTATCTTCGGCGTAAGCCTTGCGATGGTAGGGCAGAGCTTTTGGGGTAATTTACCATACGGCGGAGTCAAACAGGAACATTGCGCAGGAATGTGACGTTGGTCAGTGGTCAGCCGTCTGGATAAGTTGCTGTATCAGGAAGATTTTGCGTGTCATTTATCTGCGTTTTAGAAGCTTGGTCCTCGTTTACCCAGTTAATAACGCGGATCTATCTCGATATCTGCTTTGTCTTTTTTCTTTCTGGCTGAGCGTCTCTCTAGGCTACAATACATTACTACCAATGCTACTCGCCTAGAAAATCTTCCATGTTTTTCTTTTGTTATCGCTCGTTTTTTCGGTGACTTTTTTGGGTCAGACGTTGAGTTTCCCGTCACTAGCATCCAGGCTAAACAACAGAGAGGAAAAAAAGCTGAAGACAGATGGCGCGAAGAAGGCCGACGCTGGTCCTGCATCTCAACACTGCCGCGAAACAAAGTTTGAATTCGGGATTTCTTGTGCACAGTGTAGACGTGCCTTTGTTTTCTATGTTTTGCTGTAACCAAAAAAGAGGAAAGATGGGGGATAAAAAAAAGACACAGGAAAAAGATTTGTTCGCTCTCGCTTTTGCAGGAAAAACATTGTTCGTTCAGAGCATGGGGAAGTGTTGCCTCAGCCTCTCTCGGTTGCACCCGCCACACTTTGTTTTCGTTATTTTGGTTAGCGTCGCAAAGCACCGTCGCCAAGGATCTGCTTATTTCATAGTGATTCATCGTTTATTACAGATTAGGTAAAAACACGCCTCACAGAAATCGAGCAACACTAGAGTAGATTTACTGACGGATCTACAGCGATAGGTATACTGTACGAAAAACTGAGTGCAGTCTCCATGCGCACCTGTCGTGTATGCCCCCTGAAAAACACCAGCAGCCTACAATGGAACCGCCAGCAACGGCAGCAGCAAGAGCGAACAGAACGCGACCCTATTTGGTTGAAGGTTCGCCGTCGCTATTGCTTTCTCGCCTTCATTCGACACCAGTACTGCTCGTCCTTCTGCTACTCCCCTAATTTCACCTGCGCGGGCAATGTCGTCACTACCAATTAATTCCGTAGAATTTCCGAGGAGTCCGGGGTATTTCTGAGGTATATTTGCCGGTATCTTCGCTTCGACTCGAACTTCGAACCCCGCTTGATGCGGCGACGCCGGACCGTCCTCTTCGCTACGCGCATTCGATAATGACCCTTGTTTTCTTTTCACTGATATTTCTGCGATTTTTTTTTAACATTGCTCGAAACATCCAATTAGTGTTGGAAAAAGGGTATAGGGAAGCCCTGGTTACTGATCAGTCTTTGTTTTTGACAAGTGGTTAGTTGCAAAGGCGATGGGAATCAAGGAGATAGCGTGAGAGATTTAGACGCGCAGTAAGGGTAACGAGATATTTAGGCAACAACGGATGTCAGACACTATATCCAACAACATAACTTCGTACGACAGGCAGAACTGCCGTATGAGCTGTAGTAAAACTCGCATTATGGCCTGGCAAAAGATTGGTGGTTGTTTACATTTGTTTCTGAAAATGCACTCATATTCGCCGCACCCCCCCTCCCGCTTTCTGGCTGTGTTTGAATAGACTATGGCTGTCCCACCTTTGGGTAACATACGTGCCGTACGCGACAAAGTACGCTCAACTCAAGTATGCTACGGACAAGCAGAGCGTATAAGAATCTCAACACAAGAAAAGATCGTTATGTAGATTCTACAGTCGTATCTATGATCTAGCGCAGGTTCTAAGGCGTCACTGTGTCATTTTACTATTGATATTCTTCATCTTCAACAAATGTATTCAAAACCAACTTTGTGGCAGGGCTGAAGCATAGAAGTATGCATAACCCGGAATAGAGCCTGTGACTTCAGAGTCTATAGTGGCAGGAGCGTTTGCGTCTAGCCGCTAGCTTAAGCTAAGGTTCTTAATGCCATCTTCTAACCTCTTGGGTGCTGGCAGTCTTAGCAGATCTAAAGGGACAAACGTCTGTGCAAAGCGACAGACAGCTGGACGCTGCCTTCAACCACTCCTGAGGCGACGCCAGCTTCACCCAGTTAAATGTTCTCTCCCTCAAGGCGTCTTTAGCCTTTCGTTCTTGACCCCCCCCCTCCCCCCGTTTCTCTCTCTCTAAGCCGCCTTCCTCCAACTTCCAGCCGGTCACCAGCGTTCATACTGTAAATACACCCACATACACTCCCACATACCACGCACACTAGCGTCGGTCATTTGGCATTGGTATCAGTACGCTCCAGTCGGCATACGTGCGTCTATACGCTTTGCTCGTAATAGACAAGCACGGCCCCTTCGTCCTAGTCCGCTTTAGTTCTAGGATCGTTTTGTATTCGAAAGCGCACGGCCGCAACCACTAGCACTGACAGGGCTCTGGATTAAATCATAACGTGCGCTACCACTTTACCTCACGTTGGCCCCATGGCCATGACAGGCGTTCGCCACCTTGCTCTCCTTCGCTTCACCCGCCAGCTATTTAAATATGAAATGTCCTACTGTCTGAACGAAGGCTGAACGACCGGCAGTGCGTTCTGAAGGTTTGACGATTCGGGCTGACCAGTCAGAGACCTTGCATACGACCACCGTTAAGCCTTTCGGCTCAGACTGATTAGAATCATCGTTATTCAAAGCCCTACACTACCAGTAGCAGGCAAGTAGGCTTACGCTGATCGACCGAATGAGCGCACAAAGCGCCTGCTTTGTGCAGAGAAAAGCTGGGTGCGTTTTTGTGGGAAATGGACAGACGACCAGCGACCGACTACCAGTGGCAGCGTAGAATTCGAAAGAAGACGACTAGCACAGCCCTCATCGAATCGATGCAGAGCGGGACCCAGTATTTGCCTAAGCGTAAAGATATATGTAGCTGTAGAGATATATTCATTAATCTCAATATTTGCTCTCATGTACCCATTGTTCATTCGTCTACCGTGTATGTAAAGCTGCAAGATGGCAAGGGCGACTTCTGCACCACCCAAAAAACCGCTCATTGATGAACAGAACACCTGTAACAAATCTTTCTTCGTCGCAGTATAAAAATGTCCCCTCAAACGCGCTTAGACATGCGTTCGTATGACTTGGGCGCTACTTATATGACTGCTATTGTTGCACGGATATAATATAGTAGCCGAATCTGTTTTCGCTCCGCCGTGTTTCGTGACTAGTAAGTTAGAGTGAGCAATCCACAGATAGCCCGGCTTCTTTCAGACCCAGTACAGTCTACCGGGCGTAGCAGCGAAGGTAGCCCTCGCAGCGATGGTAAAGCCAAAAAACAAAGAACATGCTTTATATGGCCAATTCCTTCATCGTCGCTGTACTCATCCTTGCCATTGCGATCATCTCCTGCAGTCACGAATACCACGCATATTCTCCAATAGTGGCCTCGTCATCTCTGGAGCAGTGCCACCGAAAAACTGGTATGTATTATGCCAAATACGCGTATGAGTAGCTGGCGTGTAAATAGATAGAACGAAACTAAGAAGAATGCCTCATTTCCTTATGCTAGCTGTCTCTAGGCTTTTTAAGTTCGGCCTACCGTTTTAACGAGGTCTCTTCATACTAGGGGAAGCTTGGAGCGGGCCGGGCTGGCCTATCGATATTACTTTAAGTTCGTGCCGTTCCCTTTATACACCTACAACGCACCAGGTACTTTATATAAAAGTACGGCAAAAATATGCTGGAAAAATGCGCCAGCCACCCAGTCAAAGCATATACTGATGAGTAAGGGCCATACATGAAAAAGGCAAGCTAAAAAACGAGACGATTCGGATTTCGACTTCCATGGGTTAACACCTGTAAGAATGTAATGCTACTAAAGTCAGGAGAACCTTGAGCCAGGCCAACTTGCCAGTCAAGTTACAGCCGTCCAGTGTCCCTGTGACGCGTCATGGCCCGGAAGACAATGGCATGGTGGCAAATGTGGGCCATACGGGAACATGATAGATACGGTCTTGTTGCAATTATACGATAGGGAAAAAAATAGTAGCAACCGTTGAAAATGATAAAAAGAACATCGACAAACCGCCACGGGCCGTAGGAAAGGCGAATAGACGTACAACTGCGTCCGAACGAACCTGAGTGTACTAAGGCAGTGTATGCAGTTCAGACGCTGCTGCTATTACTGATTGTACGGATACCACTACCAAATAAGAACAAAAAGCACAAACAGGTGTGTGCAGAAACAGTGGCATTAGAAGCCAGAGGGCTTTCAACAGTCTTCTGTCATTATTACTTCTACTACGCCAATATTGTGTTACCGGATGAAAACCATCCTTTTCTTTCACAGTTGCTGCAGATGGCGAAGCGCAAGGCAAGCAACGCTTGGAAGCAGAGAACCGAGTAGAAACGAGCTAAAGCTTCCTCCACACCCTCGGATTTAACCCCATTTTCTTCGTCGCTTTCACCGTCTGGGTCTTCTTCGTCGTCCACCAAGTCATTTAATCGCCTCAGCAACGTCCAAGATCCCTGTCTTCCGTCCCCTGCCAGTTGCCACATACGTGGCCATAAGGTTCAGCTTTGACGGCTCCTGATTTCGACGTGCACACGTAGGCATAGAC